TCAACGGTTTACGAGTGGAAGTTAATGGTAAGACTAATGTTGCGACTAATTTTGTTTCTGACAACAGCCCCCATGACCTTACCAGTCTCTGGCCAAGCTGCTTCTCTCTCGCTGATTTCTCATCCAACAGTTGCTTTAGCAGCCTGGTCAACTCAGTCCTATTGCTCTCCAGAATTTTCTACAGTCAAAAATATTTTAAAACCTATCAACCTATGATAGAAATAACCTAGTATTTGTATATACAACACCAGTATTCAGTACCAGTAATGTGTTACAAGAAGAACGTACGCGTTGCTTTTATAGTTTTTCTTTACATTGGAAGGCATATACAGGATGCTATACTAGCAAAGCTTACCCACGCACATTATAAATGTTGCTTGCTTAGGCATTTTAATTATATCACAATAATAGTATTGAGTGTGTCCATTCGTGAATGTGCACTGTCACCTTTTCAGAATCTAGCTTCATTTCTTGGTTCTTCACCTCAAGCATGCTCATCTGTTCCAACTCATTCATAACCAATGCGATCTGAAATGAATTGCCACCGAATTTTTGCCCAGCCCATATTTAGATACACATGCGCACATGAGAGAGAGAGAGAGAGAGAGAGAGAGAGAGAGAGAGAGAGAGAAAAAAAATGAATATAAAATAGAATGAGGTGTCAATTTGTATGACTTATATATTACATCATATAATGACAAGATGACAAGACTTGCTATGAATGAATTTTTGGCTATGGCAATTCAAAAATTGCCACCACCACTATTTATTATTGCAGTGTCACCTGATAAAATTGTAGCAACCGTAGATGCATTGTAAAAAGAGCACACCCAAGGACAAGAGTAATTGACTACACTAAAGTAACTAGATTACTAAGGCCAATAGAGAAAGATGGCAGCGACAAATACATATATTATTGTGATAATAAGACCTAGTTGGAAGCACTGATGTGATCAGGAGCGAGAGAGCAAGTGTGCGCAAGTGAGTGTGCAAGAGAGAAACAGAGAACAAGCGAGAGATAGAGGGAGAGAGACTCTAACTGTTTAAGACGGAAAGCTCTGTCACGTGTTCCAATCCCATAGTAAAATAAAAGGCTTGATCTCTGTGAATCCAGATTTCTGTTAAATTTTCCGACTATATGCTTCTCGACCACACGAACGGTTACTGTTGTATTTGGCACTGTGAGTTTCTTGATTACATTTAGAGCTGTGAAAGTCCTTGTTACACACTGTTACAATATAGGTTTATAATTCTATACCTCATTCGAAAGGCGCGTGTGTTTCGCATCCTTTTGCATCTGGAGTGCCTCAAAAGCTTCTCTCTGGAACTCCTCCTGAAAAGATGAGATGACAGTTACATATAATCCCCATTAATTTTAATTCAATCATTGCGTCAAAGGAACTGCTGTGAAGCCAAATTTTATAACAGCCACGTGAACAAAAACAAATATCAGTCTGTAAAAGAAGTATCAGGTTGGTACTAAAATGAGGCTGTCATTTCAGAAAGAAAATGCAGTAGTCCATTGTCTTTGGCATTACCTGTTGTAGCAGCTGTGACAACATTTCATCCTTGTCTAATTGCTTTGACTGTAGCTGTCTGCTAACGTGCTCGTCATCCTTATTTAAACTACAAGATACAAGGAAATCACACTCCCTACTTTATGCTAGCTGATGCAATACAGACGAAACTGAGTAATTAATGCATAAAAGAGGCAACGGTTGTACATGCCTAATGTGTGTATATTCATGTAATCAACTTATTTATTGCAGAGCATTACAATTTTAAAACTAGCATGAAAATGCATGGATGATACAGAGTGCAGAAGTCGACGCACGTGCACATTATACATACTCGTACTACATATTGTCCATTCTAGAACAATCTCACAGCTTATTACATGCACCACACCATTCACGATTAGTAAACCGAGTCTCACAGAGTTTATCAGACCAATGATTGATACCTGAGTATCTTTAACAATATAGAATCCAGTTAGAATGTGTAGCATCAGCTGTGACTATCAACGTCGTGACCCTGAAGCTTTTATAGTTGTACCGCCACATAAAATGAGGTTCAGTTTCTCAGAGGTATTTAAATACGTTTCTGCATAGTCCGGCTGTAGTGTAGTGCAAGTTAGGGCAATATACGTGGCACTGGTGTTTCTTCAGAATGTTGTGTTTCTTATCGATAGTGACTGTTGTTTTCATAACTTTCTTCTCAGAGACCTTATCAACCATGATACCTTCTGCGATCGAATAACCTTTGTTGTTGTTTGTACTCCGGTTGCAGCTAGATTATATTAGTTGCTTTGTGACTTGTTTTGTTGCCTTTCTTGTTAAAACCTAGACACTCCACCACCACCACCACCACCACCACCACCACCACCATCCGCCATGCATGTTACTTGTTGGTTTGCCTGCTACATAGTCTCATGGATGAGATATACATAAATAGGTTTTTACTAAAAGCAAGTTGGCACTCAGGTAATGAGGCTTTCCTTCTTTTTCTCAACACCATATAGATGACTATATTCACTATAAGTTCAGCCGTTAGTGAGAAAACTCACGCAGGACTTTGCTAGAGGTTATAACCTCGCCAGATATACCTGGATACTTTCATCCACGCTTTTTGACAGGGTCTGTCTTTCTATCATCACGTTCTTTTGTGAAATACACAGATAAAAAACTTACATATAATGTTTGCAAGATTATTCTGGAAATTTGCTGGCATTATTACACGACATCTTCCATCTTTAATTGTAGGCTGCTAAGTGAAGTTCCTACTCTTTTTCATTGCTTCTTGTTTCACAACATTTAGCAGAATCTATTTTTCTTTCTTTTGTCTTGTGGCACATGGGCATCTTTTATTAAGATATTAAAATCCACTTCGAATCTACACCAACTCTCAGCTATCAGACTATGTTGGCTTGAAACATGGTTGGTTCCAGTATTTGAAATTTCCATAACCTGCAATTGCTAAGCCTTGCACTTGTTAGCCCTGGTTCTCTGCTGTCCATTCATTTATGGCACATCTTTTTCTTGGGACAAGATAATCCTACTAAAATGATGACATTAATCAATCTTGGGCTTCAATCTAATAAACTAGGATTTTCAATCCCACTTTTTAGATCATGTAGTTACATGTCTTACAAGTATATTCACATAATTAACATATTGACTGTGGTGCATTATAATTCACAACCACTATAACAATACTGCATACAAAGCAGAGGTCAGAGGTCAACACATTCACTGTATACACTCTCCTACTACTGGGTGAACCCTTCAAAAGCTCTGCAATGCAATACACTCGGCTGGCTTCGCAGATTGTGGCAGGTACCTGAGATGTGCACGCCTGGCTGCATCCACCTGACTCTCTGCGTAGACCTTACGCAGCTGCTCGAATGTACTGCTACTGTCAAGCATCCTCTCGATTTCCTCTGTCAAGAAAAAATGACAATTATAGACGGGCGAAGTCAATATGCAACTCAGTAACACGTTCACCGTTTCGACCTTGGAAACCTTTCGAAGTTAGCAATCGACCTTCTGCCATGCACCAGAATTTCCACTTTTTCTCATATAATTTACAATGGAATTCATCCAGGGAAAAATTGAAATAATGTTGAATGTGAAGGTATGGTGTGCTGTGCAAATAAAACCCGATTTAAGTAAAAATAGTGCCAAAACCTGGATTCACATGCGTCTTTGCTCGTGCCAGAATAAATGCTAATACACTATCACTACAATTCCTTCATATACTAATCAGTAATGTAGTAAGCAGTAACAATTTTTTTCACACATTTACTTACTCAATATCTCTGCTGTCCTCAGAGTTGCTGCTTCATCCTGTCTTACAAGGAATAACTTTTCCACTTCCATCCTGGAAATATGACTTTTGATTTGTCCATGCACCAAAGATATGCAGCACAATTCTTGAACAAGGTTTACATCACCAACTACACATACTCTTAATGAAATACTTTTACAAACTCTCCCAATATAAATACCTCCACATACTACCCATCGCATCCCTAGTGAGGTGACATTCCTAGACAGGTATGGCATGCCTAAATTTTTTAGAAACTGTCCTGGATGAACTAGCATAAAATTTGAAACCATATTATATGTTTTTATATATCATTTAGTTATATGATCAGCTGGATTGCAAGCAAACTTTGTTTAATGTTTGCAACATGTGTTTTGGATAACACTCCGTACAAAACTTTGAAACTTGTTATCATCATTAGGTAGTATATATTATAACTAGCGGGATACCCGGCGTTGCCCGGGGAAATCAGTGGCGTTACTCAGTTAGTGACCGCTTTGTTGAAAGGAAAATACCCAAAAAAATCTAACTATCTATCTATCCATGCATCCATCCATGCATCCATCCATGCATCCATCCATCCATCCATGCATCCATCCATCCATCCCATCCCATGCCATCCCATCCCATCCCATCCAATCCCATATCCCATCCGATCCCATCCCATCTCATCCCATCTCATGCCATCCCATGCCATCCGATGCCATCCCATCCCATCCCATCGCATGCCATCCCATCCCATCCCATCCCACAGTAAAAAATAATAAGAAATCAAAAGATAAAAGACATTAAATACAAAAAATTAAAATTAAAAATTAAAAATAATACATACTAAAGATGTAGGTAAAGGGGAAAAAGGGAAAAAGGGGAAAATAAGTTCCCCAGCTGGGACTCGAACCAGGAATCCCGGTGTAGGAGACGGATGTTCTAGCTATTAGGCCACTGCACCGTTAAGGGTATACCCCATGGATTCACACGTACGGGATGTTAATCTGTATGCACCGCCTTCCATTGCTGAATAGAATTTTTATGAATTTTTAACTTTTTAACTTTGTAAAATTTTTGTTTCAGCCAGAACCATATCCCAGACGCGCTGATTCTGAAAATATCTTTAGTTTTCCTCTAGGCTGCGAAGTTCTCTAGTTATGCGAGTACGGACTAACTCGGCTGAACAACTTTATATATATAGATAAGCCATATAAACAAGAGACATTTCAGGAGGAAACTAAAATGTGCCCAACAAAGGTGACCAGCATTAAATGACATACCTGAACACTGCCTGAGGTTAAAGTTCCCCCAATCCTGTTTCACAGTAAACTAGAGTTTCAATGGGAATTAGACCTTGATACTTTGAAACTAATATACAGACAGCAGGCGAGTTAGTTGGGTGACAAATCACAAGGAGAGACACTATTGTTACACTCACCGTTCCTCTTCAAGCGATTCCAATATGGCTTCATGCTTCCTTGCTTGTTCATTCATTTCCAATAACTTTTTTATGAGGGTGGTTGCATTTTTCTCAACTTGAAAGAAACAAGCATGCTATATGTATAGGTGAGCCAGGATCGGACTTTCCCAAATGCCTATCAACGTAATGTATGAGCCCTTTATTGCACAAATCTAAGCACTATTGCTATTACAAGGTAGTTAAGCCACCAGGGCATAATAAAAATATTGTTTGTTTGCCCTCACCCGAACGACCCGCCAAAAAGGGGCCGACAATTTTTTATTGATCTTTCCCTTTTTTTAAACAAATTGTATCACTGTACATTATATAAATCTGTAGGCAATACATTATATCAAGAGCGTATTAAGAAGGAGAGCGTACAACGGTGAAATGCTGAAACCATGTTGCAGTATTAGTCGAATTAAGAAACTTTGCCCGTTTTATTTTGACGATTCTTTGCGGTATTATTGATCAACTGTCCTACCTTGCTAATATAAAACAAACCGCTTGTCCCTAAGATGCCCCTACGCTGAGATGAGCGGTGAAAATCTGGTATTTTTGCCGAAAACCGACTCGAGATCCCCATTGGCTCCGACCCTCTCTCGCTTTGCGATAGCTTCGGGAAACCTCGCGTGTTTCCGTCATTGATTGACAAATGGGATGAATGAAAACTTGTTTGTAGTGCAAGGAACTTTGGGTAGACCATACCAGGGGCGGATCCAGGGGGGGGGGTGGAGGAGGGCATCAAGGTCTTGAGCGACAAAAGGTTATCCGACACTTACTCTTCGCATGTCAGCAGAAAGTACATTTCATGGTCCTTTCAATAAAGCCATAAAAATGCTAGGTCACCGCTGAAACAAAAAAGTTTTCCAATCGCTCCGTCAGACCATGCCCTCAGAAAATGTATAAAATCTGCCCTGTGACCTCCAATTTCGGCACAGTGATGGCTTTTCCTACCATGATGCTATACACCGACTATCACGAGCCTAGGTCGAGCCGTTTAGATTTGTGCCGCAATTCTGCATTTTCTCCCTATACCTTAAGTTAAGGAGGGATTGTTTCCCCTTCTTTTACACCTCTTGACCTTTGACCTTTGACCCCCAGCTTCAACATCCCAACTCGTTTTCGGATTATCCCCCCATGTCCCAAATATCGTGACCGTACGTCGAGCCGTTTAGATTTGTGCCCAACTGTTGACGCACGGACGCACGCACACTCATGCGATTCTACAAGCTGCATCTGACTATGTCAGATGAGCTCAAAAAAGATAAAAGCCTACCTACCTACCTAAACTTTTCAGCCTGGATAATTGTGGCCCCATCAAATCTTTTTTTTTTGTCTCTCATGTTTAGCCAGCTCTGCTTCAATCTGGGAATCCTATTAACTATTTCATATCCAAAGCAAAGACAATCACCTTCATAGAGTGATGAAACTAATGTCTTGCGCTCCATGTCCTTTTTCTTGTGTGCTAATGTAATGTCATCCTGCAACTTGTTAGCCTCCTGCAGAGAAATACTTATTTCATCATATCAGACCATCAGGAATGAAGTAGTCAACAAGCGTCGTTCGTCATCTTCATCTTGTGATGTTAAAGTTTGGAAATAAGGAAATTTTTGAGTAATCTGGTCAGATTAGTAAAAAAAAAAAGGTAGAAAATTCAGTATTGATCACGATGCAAAAAGTGGCCACAAATTTGGATTTGTATATTAATCATGGCACTCGCTAGCCCACACTTGCCTAGCTATGACAAATTAAGAAATGCAACATGTGTACATCGCAGAAACAGAACATATGCTGGGTGCTATGATATCTACAGACTTTTCACATTACTTGAAGCTTGTTTAACCAAGTTTTGCTTTTGAAATTTATCCTCTAAGGGTGGCCCACCTCACTAAGTATGTTGATAATTTTTTCTTTCGTGTGGTTGGAACGAGTGATCAATTGTGCTTGCTCCATCCTTGACAAGGCCATGGCCTGCTCTGCAGCTAGAGTATCACGCACCCTCTGCTCCTGTTTGGGCAAGACAAATGGCAGCATGATCACCAACTTTGAAACTGTGGTATAATACCACGAGAGTACCAATACAGACCCAACAAATGTATCCGCAAACAACTACACCACACAACAATCACACTTGATCTACTGACAGCATGTCTGCTAAAGAGGGCAGAGCTAAATGAAAACTATTGAACATCAGTTATTCAAATTTATCTAAACAGCAACCGTATTGAATACAGATACTCTACTAGTATCTTTACATGGTTTCTACACGACTACACGATCTCAAACATTATTATTTTGGACATATTTCTGTTATTTTCAAGCTCAAGGGTAAAGCTGCAATTAAAGCAATCAGACACATCATCAACAGACGTAACTGAAATTCTTTCCAATGGAAATAAAAAAAGAAATAGAGATATCACAAAAAGCATGCCAACAGAGTGGTCATTACCATTACATCACTAGTAACAGTTGTTTACATAATGTAATGTCTCAATCTCTTTTTTCGATTCACTCCACTAGATTCTACCATAACTTCATAACAGTATCATTACTACGTAGGCACAGGTTCACACACCAAAATTGATAGTAATGAAAGTGTCAATGACACTGTAGCTCACCACAAAAAAGAACACAAATGAGTGAGTAAGAAGAAGTCAGTTTTAATTGAGCAACCATCGACGTACATTATAGAAACGATTGCCATCTGTATATCGCAATAATAATTTATAAACCAAAATAAATCACAATTTGTGACCATAAATGGCGCTATACCCGCTTTGTAGCAATGGCGTTTGAAATAAATACGTTATGCTGCGTTCTGACATGTTTTGTAAAACTTTACTCTAATATAGACGTTTTATCGGCAGGGTGGAGAGGAAATACCAACTTTGCATTAAAGATATTGTCAATGAAATCTTGTAAAACGAACCAGACGAGTGTGACACCACAGAATGTTTGTGTCTATATAATATGCTATATAATTGCCAAACCCTACCTAATTTGCATAATTTTTTTTTTAATTTAAAACCCCTAGCCCTTATTCATTCACATACCAAAAATGAGCAAAATCCGTTAAACCTGAACTGACTAATGGCAATTCCCATTTTTGCCAAAAAATTGCCGTGGCTCGAAAGTACGTCGACTGGCGTGCTTCAAAATAGGACGTTTAATATGGGAGCATAGCAGTAACAACTATACCCAATTTCAAACATGTGGGCCACACGGTTCCTGAGTTATCGTTGACCGTAGCAAAATGTTGACGGACGGACGGACGGACGGACGACGACCCATGGCAATAGCTCAGCTTGACGATGTCAAGGTGAGCTAAAAATTAACCATGTTACAATATAACTGAGAAAATTGCAACTATTTTTAGGGTGGCTCTGTTTCAGGGCTAGAATTTGTTATTGTTGTATATTTTGGTGGATATAACAACATAGAGTTGTCTAAAACGTAAACTTTACTACAGACACTGTTAAGCCACACAATTATGGGCATGTCACAAAAGCAGCAGTAGTCATGTGACAATTGTGATAGTCATGCTACACAGAGAGTAGTAATGTCGCAACAAGAACATTTATGCTGCAGCCATCGTCCATGTAGTCGTGCAACCAGAGTGGCAATCATACTGTAAGTGCAGCAGTCATGTCACAACAAGCAGCCATGCCACGTGTGCAGCTGTCACACCACAAAAACTGCAGTCATGTCACAATATTAATTGCAGTATGCTACCGGTCATGCGTCAATACATTTTGGGTGAGCACACAGCCGCTATGCAACATCAGATGTTAAATTAATTGCAAAAATTAAGACAAAACGAATACATGCCTTGCGACTTTCGTACTTCGATATGGTATCCTGTGAGGAAAAAAGAAAAAAAAGAATCTACTACACTGAGCAGTTGGAAATGGCAAATTTAGCCACTCGCATACTTGAATGGCATGCCACATATCCAACTATGCTACGACTTAATTTGGATTTATTTTAAAGCCAAATCTCTCTTTCCCAGGTAGAGAGCTCGCACAGACAAAACCAACTTACAGTACGAACAGGATTTAACAGGTGTGAATGTGTGTACAAGCATGCCGCAATCGTCATCATCATCACCATAGTCATCGCCATTGTCATTGTTATCATTACCATCATCATCATCATCATCATGATCACTAGTAGCAACAGTTGGCAACATGTTGGACAAAAAAGCTAAACAAGCGGTTGTTAGCGGGGACTATAACTAGTGCATACTGCAGTGTTTTCGGGTCACCCCCCTCCAGACACGATGAACCTGGTTGATAAGGTGACGTCATTCACCCGCCTGCTGCCGCTACCAGCCAGGGTTCGATATTATGCGTGCTAAATGTGACTTCATTTTTGATAATAGCGACCTCAAAATTCCTTCACGTGAAAAATTTAGTACGCAGTCTTTTTCACTGTGAGTAGATTATATTCAATAGAGGGACGTCGGAATTATAGAGATATACTGTTAACAGAATATTTTTTTACATACTGCTTGCTTGTATTTTTAAACTTTCCCTTCCTTCGGTTGATTTAGCACCCAGGATTTAGGGGATTTTTCATACCTCAATAGCAGAAACTTCATGAAGACACTTCTCTGCCGAATGGGTCGAGGAGGTAGGACTCAGAGCTGGAGACAGGATAGGATGGAGAGTGTGCGATGGTGGTATATACTCCACACCACTCTCTGAAACATAAAGCATAGATGTAAAATTAGTTTTCTTACAATTTCATTTCACCTCTAGTGCAGAATACTGTGGTTAGGCTTGCTTGAAAAAAATATAGCATATGAGATGTTAAATCTGAGATATCCATGATGCTGGTGATGCATTCATTTGAACAGTAATCTTATTTTAGGATTGCAAGAGTAAATTTGTGTACCTAGGCACAAAAATTGTGCAATGGCATCTGTTCCTTGTTTACACACATCTGAAATACAAGGAAAACGAATAAGTAATGCTACAGAAATACCTTTCTACGTAGTGTTACATTACAACTGACCTCGCTATTTTCTAACAAACCAGCATATTCAAAGTAGGCTGAATAATTTACATACTACAAGAAAAGGCTGCCGGCTGGCATGCATCCAGACACTAAATGAAAGTGTCAATGACACTGTAGCTCACCACAAAAAAGGACACAAATGAGCAACCATCCACGTACATTATAGAAACGATTGCCATCTGTATATCGCAATAATAATTTATAAACCCAAATGAATCACAATTTGTGACCGTAGATGGCGCTATACCCGCTTTGTAGCAATGGCGTTTGAAATAAATGGGTAATGCTATCACCCGGGCGTGGAGGGAGGTGACCGCAACGTGGCAGCACTAGTGTTGGGATAGTGTTAGGATTAGGGTCAGGGTCAGGGTTAGGGTTAGGGTTAGGGTTAGGGTTAGGATTAGGGTTAGGGTTAGGGTTAGGGTTAGGGTTAGGGTTAGGATTAGGGTTAGGGTTAAGGTTTTTGCATCATGATATCTGTCCCCACACCATAGATTAATTTTTGTGGATTACAATGCCTATATATAGCGCGGCGATTACATATATATTTAGTGTGAGGGTTAGTGTTGGCGGTGTTGGAGTGAGGTTTACCGTTAGGGTTAACGTTTTGAACGTCATCGTCAACGTTATCACGTGACCTCCCTCCACGCCCGGGGGATAGCAACACCCGAAATAAATAGGTTATGCTGCGTTCCGACATGTTTTGTAAAACTTTACTCTAATATAGACGTTTTATCGGCAGGGTGGAGAGGAAATACCAATTTTGCATCCAGATGAGACGGGATACTAGAGAAGCGTTGCCGAAAGGAGGTGTTTATCCGAAGTGCTGCGGACGACGAACCATGGCCAATAGCCTCAGCTGACGATGTCAAGGTGAGCTAAAATTAACCATGTACAATGATATTGTCAATGAAATCTTGTAAAACGAACCAGACGAGTGTGACACCACAGACTGTTTGTGTCTATATAATATGCTATATAATTGCCAAACCCTACCTAATTTGCATAATTTTTTTTTTAAATATCAATTCCCCTAGCCTTTATTCATTCACATACCAAAAATGAGCAAAATCCGTTGAACCTGAACTGACTAATGGCAATTCCCATTTCTGCCAAAAAATTGCCGTGGCTTGAAAGTACGTCGACTAGCGTGCTTCAAAATAGGACGTTTAATATGGGAGCATAGCAGTAACAACTATACCCAATTTCAAACATGTGGGTCAAACGGTTCCTGAGTTATCATTGACCGTAGCAAAATGTTGACGGACGGACGTACGACGGACGGACGGAAGGACGTACGACGGACGGACGGACGTACGACGGACGAACGGACGGACGTACGACGGACGGACGGACGGACGTACAATGGAAGGACGGACGGACGTACGACGGACGACGACCCATGGCAATAGCTCAGCTTGACGATGTCAAGGTGAGCTAAAAAAAACAAAGGTATAAAACCTAGCTGCACCAGCATCAAAAAGTACTTTTACTCTACCTGGTCTGGGATATTCCATATTATCAGCATCCAGGATGACAACTTCAAGGGACCGAAGGTTACAGCAAGACTTGTGAAGTCGTGTTATCATATTGTTGGATATGTCCAATGTGCGTAGACTCTGCAGTTGATGCAATGCTGCAGGAAGGCTCTGAAGCTTGTTTCCTACAAACAACACAGAGCAAAGAATTAAAATGACAATGTCATTTTTTTACATTTGTATATTTTTAAGGGAATACTTGACTCTAGGTTCTAGGGTTATTTTCGGTTGATTTAGGTTAAAATTATGCTTCATTAAAAGTTTTATGGTTCAATATTTATTAGAAATATTTTAAAAAAATGTTTTACAACTGACGGCTATACCATTGCTTACAACGATGGTGGCGCCAATGGCAGTGCACATACTGAAAAGTTGCGCAAAGCAACGTTTCGGCTGCAGGCTACAGACCGAGGGTGTTTCTGATTTATTAATTTAAGAGCAGAAGGACTACAATATCGTATAAACGACATATAGTTTCACTTATAATATGGATAAATTTGTCCTAAAATGAATACCGTTCGGTTAAATAACATTTACGTATAAATATAATTGCACTTTTATGATTAGCCCTCGGTCTGCAACGTGCAAAATATTTTGGCAAATGCGCAACTTTTTCAGGGTGGCAGCACGGTCGTGGGTGTCATGTCAGTGCCCAAAAATAAAGAATTCGAAATTCAATGTTGTTTTATGACAAATGTGAATTCGTAATTATAGATATTTATAGGTATGTGCTATTATTTATAAAGCTACTATCATAATATACTCTCAAATTCTAGAGTAAAGTATTCCTTTAAGTATACAATTATCCTTTATTGTATTTGTATTTAAAAAAAATTCACATTAAATGCACGTAGGGGGCCTACTAACAGTACTAAGTAAATCCTCAATTCACATATCAGTTTTCGTGTAGGCTACCTATAGCAATAAGCATGTGAATGTAAATGTGATTATACAGCAATTTACATCTCGTTTTGCGAAATAGAATATATCCATTTCTGATTAACTGCCCATAATCTACTGCTGTTATTAGGCATGCACTTGTGGGCCATCAGTGATAGCAGACGAGGCATCAGATGTGAATTTACTATGAAATATTTTAACTGTAAGTAATGCATTAAATAGATCTGCAGTAATGTAGACACTGCAATGCAATGAAAAGTTAAGGAACTCACAAACTCCCTCTTCCCCTTCCCTGACCTTTTGAACTTAGACCTCCAGATTTGATCTAATTCCATCCTTTCAGATCTCCCTCCTACATGCAAAATATAACTGTCATAGATGAACTAGATGCATAGATGATTTAGATTTGTGCGACTAAAGTTGACACACGTGACATAGGTACACACGTTATAGATACCACGTTTGGCAAACTACAGACTGGAAGTCACCATTTTATATCGTATTATATGAATATATAAATAAATAAATAAATATATAAATGGACTATATTATATCAAGAGCTCATAATAGAGAAGAGTATGACACCGTTTTAACAGCGTTTTACATAGTTTTCAACTTGTAAATATTCTATCAATATGTGAATACATGTATTCAAACTTTACCTTGTTTTCGTCTATGCTTCTCTCTTAATCATAGGACACCACCAATTTACCTGAAAATCGTATGTGTTCTTCAAAAAAGTTCTTTGAATACGACACGGTTTCACACAGTTTTCCCAAATGATCGTATGTATTCGGCGCAAGTTTATTATCGGATTAGTGTTCTATTGTCTATGACGGAACGCTAGGGGCTGTTGGGGATATTAGCATAGATATTAGGCATCAAATTGTATTCAGCGTGTAGCGTTTCCAGCGTGCTAGAAATAAATGTGTGCTCATGGCGAGCTAGCAGCTGATTTTAGCTGTGTTGCCATCGTGTTCCTGATGATAAGCAAGCGAAACAAGTGCTGTTACTGTGCTTACCTAATATGCCCAACAGCCCCCAGCGTCCCATAGTTACAACCTGGTGCTGCCGTCGCATTATCAACATGTGCCGAATACATGCGATCATTAGGGAAAACTGTGTGAAACTGTGTTGTATTCAAGAAACTTTTTTGAAGAACACATACGATTTTTATGTAAATTTGTGGTGTCATATGATTAAGGGAGAATCATAGACGAAAACAAGGTAAAGTTTGAATATATTTATTCACATATTGATAGAATATTTACAAGTTGAAAACTATGCAAAATGCTGTTAAAACGGTGTCATACTCTTCTCTATTATGAGCTCTTGATTATATCAGACCACTACAAAAAATTCATGCTAGATAAAATATATACGTAATTACATTATATATTTACCTTTAACATTTAATGTCTGCAAAACTTGTAATTTCCCTATTGTTTCTGGTAGATATTTAAGGCGATTATTTTGAAGATTTAAAACCTGTGAACAAAGAAACATAATACTGCAGTCCAAGAATAATCAACTCTTTCATCATTTGCTACTTTTTTATGCATACTCATACAGATGTGCTAGTTTAATGTACTGTCATACAATGCTCCTGCAGGCACATAAACATTTCGGTATGATCTTATAGCAAAGTTTTATACATTCATTGTGTGCACCTTTCATTATTACATTTCAATAGGAGGGAAGAATACTTACTTGCAATGCATTCATGTTACCAATTTCATCTGGCAGCTGCTCTAAGAGATTGTTATGTATATCCAATACCTTAAAAGCACAAACATACAGACTGTTAAATACCATTAATTGAAACAGGAAAGCCTTGCCTAATGTGAGGTTCGGAAATGAACTCCTAAGATCAAGTGCAGGGTAGATGGTTTATTTGAGAACAAACAAAAACCCCTAGGGAGCCAAGTACGAGATGGGGCCAGATGAGACGGGATACTAGAGAAGCGTTGCCGAAAGGAGGTGTTGATCCGATGCGCTCAGCGCAGATCTTGCGCGCAGTTCCGCGGCAAGGCGCACGCGACCGCGGGAACGTCCTACGACAGTATGCAGCGCTGGCAGCTATGGACCCGTGCGCCGAATGCATAGGCCGGCGCACAGATCCATAGCTGCCAGCGAAGTCGACAATTTTACCGGGAATACAATGAAAGAGCTCAGCTGCATTGAGCTGCTGTTGTTTGAAAGTTCAATGAAAATATAAATAAAAGTGTCAACAGTTTCTACTTCTACACTGTGTTGTATAAGTTTTATTATGAATTGTATTTTATTATGCGTCAGCGGCTTCATGTAACGAGCCACCGTAGCCACCGTATGCCACGTGCCACCGTAGTAATCACAATGCCAACTTCGCGTGCAACAACTGCCCTGGGTCACACGATAACAAGGCGGCATAATGCCTCTCACCTGGTGGATGCTGACCGATAGAAATTTCTAGGCAGCAGAACGCTTTCTTCTACTCCCAATCTGATCCAGCATGGCAGCCTAGTGCTGCCATCTGTTTGCGACTACCCTCGTCTAGCTTTTATCTTCTTTAGCCACTCGAGGGCAGCACCAAACAATCACAACAAAACACTCCATGACAGATGGCGCTCTCGCTCTAGTCAGGTCCCTTAGCTTCATGATCGTTACAGAGCTGACAAAAGCATCAAACTTGGCACAGTTGTAGCCTATGGTAGTACTCTATGAATTCATAGAGGGGGGCCGTATATAATATATATACCAATGTAGATATTCCTTTTTAGAAGTGAATTACAGATGATTGAAAATTTTCGAACCACGGCGAACGCGGACTGAGCGTATATATATAGTTTGAACCCCCCCCCCGGCGCATACGCTATTGCGCTATTAGACGGCGAGAAAGGTGATTAACTCTCATATCTCGCAAACGAATTGAGCTACATTTCTATAAATTTAGATACATATAAACACGTCTTAGTTATAATCCCCGTGAACTTTGAGTTTATTGAATCACGAATAGTTTAATTAAGTACCAAAAATATACGCACGGTATCACTTATAGGCTAATATATACGCGCGGCTATGGCACGTAGGATAGTGTACTAACTATCTCGCGAAGGATTTGAGTTACATTTCTAGAATTCTAGAAACCTATAAACACATACATCTCTTAGCTATGGTCTCTGTAAATTTTGAGTTTATTGAAGCACGAATAGTTTAAACAACCAAAAAATATACGCACGGTATCGTCATAGACATAGGATAATATATACGCGCAGCTATGGCCCGTAGGATAGTGTACTAATATCTCGCGAACAATTTGAGTTACATTTTCTAAAATTCTAGATACATATTAACACGTCTTAGCTATGGTCTGTGAATTTTGAGTTTGTTAAAGCACAAATAGTTTAATTAATTACCAAAAATATACCACAGGTATCGCTCATAGGCTAATACATACGCGCGGCGTATGGACGCGTAGAATAGTGGAGTAACTAAGCTAGAATCGCGAAGGAAGGAGGGCGGAAAGGAAATTTGGAAGGGAAGAAAAGAGGGAGAATAGTGTACTACTCTAATATCTCGCGAAGGATTTGAGTACATTCTAAATTCTAGATCTATAGACAGATGTCTTAGCTATACTCTCCGTGAATATTGAGTTACGATTAGTCACGATTAGTCAATATATTAGCAAATATATGCGCGCGGAAGTGAATTACAGATGATTAAATGTTCGAACCACCCGACTCCGAACCCCCCTACCGCGCCCACCTGTACTGTGTGTACTGGCGCATTGTACAGCTGGTACATGTATTGGCATTCTATAGAGGCGGGCGCGGTAGGGGGGTTCGGAGTCGGGTGGTTCAAACATTTAACCATCTGTAATTCACTTCTAAGAAATATCTGCATTGGGCACCCCCTCTAATAATTATAGTACTGCCATAAGCTACAACTCTGCCAAGTTTAAGACTTTTGTCACTCCTGTAACGATTCATCCCATATTTTGCACTAAGGGACTACTCTGGCTCAATTCACCACTGCCACAAGTCGATTCTCTAAGTAGAATTTCTAACGCTTTTTTACTACAAGTTTTATAGCAGCCACGTTACTCGTATCCTATGTATTAAGATTTGCACTTCTAAAAGTTGCAAAGGAAATAAAAATCTGACCATAATTTCATGAAAAATTTGATGAAATAGTGATAAGAAATAGTGCCCCAGAGCTCCGCCCACTTTAAAAATGGTGCTAGCATTGCGGCAGTAGTATCCTGAGTTGTACGAAGGGGGCACTGCATGCAGTTTGTCACAACAACACAAACTGTGACAATTCTACATGTTACACTAATATACATTTATATCTTGCAAACTTTTTTCTATTTGATTAAATAAATTGGCTTTATAGAGCTATACGTAATTGAGAAGGACAGAAAGCTAGTAATTGTTGGCGACTTATGCAACCTAAATTGAACTATGTTGTAAACATCTTACTACCATACCCGTATTAGAAATAGGTCCTCCAGTTTTCCTCCTGCCTTCAGGGAAGAGATTTCATTGTCATACATCAGCAGGGACTAGAGAGACAATTATAGAATACATATCATTAGTGACATATCCATGGAAAACTTCTAGCAAGCTCAGACCTCACTATGCAACCCCTTTTCCAGTTTATAGATATCTGCTTTAAAAAAGAAATGATTCAAACAGATTCAGGTTAAATTAACTACGTCAATTTTGTTGCAATTTTTTACAATAAAAGTAAGTACTAATGGGACTAAATGTATCCCAAAATTCTTACCTGATAAGATTGTTTCTCACATAGTTAAAAATCCAAAAAAACTTGGGCGATTTGATATATTGATCACGACATTAAATGCTTCTATGGGCTATGTATGAGTCACGAGTGTTTGTTCACATCAAACAAAATGGCAAAATAGGAAGTATAATGCAGCAATTTAACCATAACAAGTGCCGCATAGCGACAGCGCTCATCTAACGTCTACTGCGGTGACTCTGTGGTGGAGTGGTGGGATTCTAGTAAACCCTGTTAGTCCCAAATGTGTTCACATACACGCCGAAACAGTGGAATGCACAGGGATGGTATCAGGAACCTTCTCAAAAGAATGTTCGTTGGGATCGTTATGAAAGTTGCCACGAGATGGCGCGTACGTTTAAGTGTCTTCAGATTAAAGATGGAAGCTCCCATCATATACGTAGTAGCAACAACTATCTGCAAGACAGAATAGGTAAGCACTCATCCATTTACCTACGCAAGCCTACAGGCTGCGCAATAGAGAGCTGCCACCTGTAACCAATTAAGGCAAAAACTCCAGTCCCACCAACACATGCACTGGCAGTAGCCACTGGCAGTGGCATACGTTACATGTAACATACTGACAGTACAGAATGCCATATAAATTATACGATTTAAGGAGCATAAACCTTCTTTAACCAAATTTAGCTTTTGAAATTTCACTGTGACATTGTAGCCTCATACATCCAGGCATGTATAGATTCTACTAGCAAACCCAGCAGTCAAATTCTTTCTAACAGACAGTCAACAAATCCATGTTTAACCCTCCTCTTGAGGGTCAAAAGGTTATCTGACACTTACTCTTCGCATGTCAGCAGAAAGTAGATTTCATGGTCCTTTCAATAATGCCATAAAAATGCTAGGTCACCGCTGAAAGAAAAAAGTTTTTCAATCGCTCCGTCAGACCATGTCCTCAGAAAATGTCTAAAATCTGCCCTGTGCCCATTGACCTTTGACCTGTGACCTCCAATTTCGGCACAGTGATGGCTTTTCCTACCATGATGCTATACACCGACTATCACGAGCCTAGGTCGAGCCGTTTAGATTTGTGCCGCAATTCTGCATTTCCTCCCTATACCTTAAGTTAAGGAGTGAATGTTCCCCCTTATTTTACACCTCTTGACCTTTGACCTTTGACCCCCAGCTTCGACATCCCAATTCGTTTTCGGATTACCCCCCCACGTCCCGAATATCGTGACCGTACGTCGAGCGGTTAAGATTTGTGCCCAACTGTTGACGCACGGACGATCATGCGATTCTACAAGCTGCATCTGACTATGTCAGATGAGCTAAAAAGTGAACAGAATCACTTATATTTTGTGAAAAAGTCAACATAATTTTTTTACTTTTACTATTTACGGTGACATAATCACATTTGATACTAAACCGTGCCATATAAAATGCAACTATTGATGATTTCTAAAATTCTGATGGTGGGTATTAAACCTATCAGGGCATATTTTACTTCACACTATTATTACATTGCCAAAAAAATGTTTTCAGATATTTTTTCAACAGAACTCACAACTGATTTAAACAAACCTCTTTTCTAAAGCATTTGCACAAGGAAAATATTCCTGAGGGCACTTCATTGCAACCACATCCAGAAACGTCAAACACTGGCTCTGGGTTCTCCTGTGCCTGAAATCATATTCGCCATATCATATTGTGAAAATACTTATTATATTTCAGACTCAAATGTATAAAGTGAAACACTGCTGTAGATTTAATGCATATTTCCAATCAAATTTGGTATAAAATAGACTACATGCAGCAAAATTAAAGTGTTCTATATTCACTGTAAATATTTTTAGTGTTTTAAAAACTGTCAATGATTATTTGCTTGCAATGCCTGTGGTGCCACTATTTGTCCTGCTCTGGCAAAGTTAAGAAAATTCAACTTTCAGCTGCACGCAACAGACTAACATTGTTTATTATTTATTAACTTTTAAGAGAAAAACTTAAAGTGTTGAAATACGTTACATATTACTATTTAGTATAGTCACATATTATCAAATATCAGTCAGATTATGTATGTATTCATCCCAAACAGAAAGTTGTTCAGATAAATACTAGTTAAGTTTATATTAAAACAAAACTCCTGTGATTGGTTCCCAGTCTCAAATATGCAAAATGAAAATTCACAAGCGATAACATAGTCAGGGGGCAGCAATAGTCAAGTAATGTCATGACAGCACCAATGATTACTGAATTTCAATATTTATAACCAAAAGTAATTATTTCTCAAATACATTGAAAAATGAAAATGTGCAATAAAATATATTCTCACCTCATATGCTACTTATTACAATAAGTTAATGACTTAAACATTACTATAAACTTGTGCTATTATAGAATATATTTTTAAGCGTTTGAAACAAAGTAACAAATACATTGTGAAAAAGGTGTGGATACAGGGTACCAATCCATAAACTTTCATCGCAAGATGCAAGAATCTTTTGTGATCAAACAGGAACCAAAGTTAAATTAAAACTTTAATTGTTGCTTATAGAGATAAAATTAACGATGTAAGAGTGCTCTAAGACATGTTAGCCATACTGTAAACACTTGCTGTTACACGAGCAATGCTAGTAGCTTTTGGAACAGAACAAATGTCAATGCGTGATTATAGAAATTTGTAGGTATATGCTATTATATATGCACTTACTATCATAATGTACTATCATAATTCTAGAGGAAAGTTTAAGAAAAAGTAAAGTTTAAGAAAATGTGAGAATGGTCCAGAAAATGTTTTAAAATGTTGTCTTATCACTGATAATAGAAATGTGCATGTGAACACTATTTGTTATGTGAGACGCAGGGTTGTATAGCCAGGTCGACAATTTTAGTGCTGGCTAATATCAGTAAATATAAATTACTATAATAGAAACATGGTGGTTAGTCAGCTATACTGCATCATGTACTGTGCGCTGTATGACGTGATCAGATGATGATTTTACGCATAATTATTGTTGAGATTAAACTCAGTTATTTTTAAATTATTACTAAGTGCATCAATTGTGATTATTTGTAGATTGCACACTATTTTGAAGGTAATTTTACATAAACTCAATCATTTTTGTGCCGGTTGCATGTTAATTAAAGCTGCGTGCCAGTCGGCCAACGGCCCAACACACCAGAGCCGGCTATTACTGACCGGCGCCAACCGGCGTAGATACAACGGTCGTGATACGTATCATAATAATTAATATACTCTCAAATTCTAGACTATTGTTACTAGCCGTATAATAAAATTAACTAGTCTTCTAAATCAATCATTGAATGACATTTACCAGGTATAGTTTGTGCGACAGCTTCTGTGAATCCAACTTTGACTTCGCCTTCTTTTTTTTAAATATTGGCATATCGGTTCGACTTGATTCTTTATCAGATACTGTTTCTGTGGGTAGAATTTGTTTGGATGTAGTACTACTAGTACTACTAGTACTACTACTAGTACTAGTACTAGTAGGGGGCCTAGACACGGATGTTCCCATCACCAAGTCGCTTTGGCTAAAAAGTAAAAGGAATAATAATAACGATTTTTATAAACAGAACACTCACATTGCTATATATCTGGGCCCAAGGATAGAGAACATGGGTCCCAATAAAACCAATGTGCCTAACCACAGGCCCTTGGAGGCTCAAGTTTCGAAAAAGTATAAGTCTATATTAAGAGCGAAGCGGAAACCGCTTCGCTCTTAATATAGACTTATACTTTTTCGAAACTTGAGCCTCCAAGGGCCTGTGGCCTAACCCTATCCCTAACCCTAACAACAATAAGTTTAACAGAGTGGCTATATGCCCGGCAGCCGGCATATATCTGACGGCTGCTGGGCACGGTCTTCGATTTCCTAAATGCCCGGCAGTTTTTAATTTTTAGTGTTATCTCAAGTAAACAAGGGTTAGGGTTAGAGTTAGGATTAGGGTTAGGGTTAGGGTTAGAGTTTTTGTTAGGGTTAGAGTTAGGGTTAGGAACTGCCGGGCATTTAGGAAAACGAAGACCGTGCCCGGCTGCCGGGCATATAGCAACAGCGTAAGTTTAACCCTAACCATAACCCTAACCATGACTATTTTAGGCCTAACTTAGTAACTAACCTTTATATTGATATATTTATTATATTTATATTGATGTAAATGACATTGGTTTTATTGGGACCCATGTTCTCTATCCTTGAACCTATATATGTATAGACGAGTGAGTCATTTGCTTATAAATGCACAAAGAATACAGAATAATACTATTTACCTACATAATTCTGACATCAGACATTCATGTTTATTACACAACACTGACTTTCGAAATCTTGGATTTTTGGCTCTACGGTGCTGCTGATCGACGGTGCTGCCGCCGCTCTCGATTTTTCCTTTGCGCGTTTCAAAACAGGGACTATACCTGCAAAAGTGTAACTACATGCCTACTTATACTTCAGTGGTATAGCTAATGACTTTTTGGTAACAATAACTGCCTACTTGGTCTAACTGGAAGTCATAGAGAACGATGGTATCCTATCTTCTTCTATTCATAAATAAGAAACCTCTTCGGTCTGAACAATGTGTGTAAAAACTATCTACCTCATAACCTCATAAGTGATAATCTTCAAAAGTCCTGGAGACTATAACGAAGATGGAGAGAGTGGATCAAGTCGGTAGATCCACACTGCGAATCGCAGCGGAAAAAGTTGTGAATTTGCTATTTACCAATTTACCTATTTACCTATTTATCTAATATATATTCTCAAAACATTGTGTGGCAACATTCCGGCAACGTATATAAATATTTTTTAAACTAACGTTTAATGTTGGAAATTAGACTGCATATAGAAATTTTATTATCATTACTATCACGCCGCAAGGGGATTAAATTTTTAATTTTTAATTGATTGACCGTCACTCACACCACTAAACTAAAATAAAGGTGTATCTGTGAAGCCCGAGAAGCCAGAAGAAGTGAAAAAAATGACCACTTAGTACGAAGGATGGAGACCTGCATACCATCACTTCATACACAGACACGCACGCACGCACACACGTACATACACAAACGCATAGGTTCGCCTATGGCTTTTCTATGATTCCGTACGCGCACGCGTATATTTTTTTATATATATTTTTTTATTTTTTTATTTCGATAATTAACAAAGCATACATTACATCGCTAACAGCATAAATAAACAAAATGCAGCTAGAAAATTATCGAGGATGAAAACACAAAAAGCGTGGCTCACAAAAGTGTTTTCCACCACAAAATATACGTGGAAAATGTCATTATATTTTGGCATAGGCCCCTATAAGGAATTACGACTGGAGCCAGTCGATAGCCATAGTTATCGACCCATGCAGGCGCATACAAGAACATGCGTGAATATATAATTTGTTAAAATATTATGCGATTAAGTGCAAAAATGGTTTATAGTTGAAATCTAAATAAAATATGTTTATTATATACGTGTAAATGATTCAAAGTTATTTAGACGTCAATAGAAAGTCGCCTATCAGGGGCGTAGATAGCGGGGGGGATGGGGGGGATGCATCCCCCCACTTATTGACGTGGGGGGGATGGCGTGTACAATCATCCCCCCCTACTTTCAGGAGGAAAATGGGGGATTCAAAATTTTCTGGGGGAGGACCCGCATACCCCCGCGGCCCCGCCTGTTTCTTACAACCCTCCTCGAAAACCTGCATTGGCCACTGTCGAGCGTAACAAATTGGTCAAATTGAGCACCCCCACTTCAAAAATCGTTCCGCGGCGCCTGTAGAGTACTGCTAACAAAGATTATGATTATGAATATTTGTATGCATATCAAAAGTC